AGCGTTTGTGATGAAGCATCAACACACTCTCAGCACTCATCTTAGATCCTACTCCTTCTCTCTCTACCATTAACACCAAAGCTGAATCTAGCCCTTCACGATCCAGATACCATAGTCCATTACGCCACGTGCCAGTCCCAAGTCTCCGTCCTGTCCCCTTCTCCTGAAATATCACCTTGGGAATATCAAAAGAAACAATACATTTTAGTTGGAGGATGATAGAACTAATGGATAAAAGATTGACTGGAAAGGAAGGAACATGCAAAACATTGGACAAAGTTACAGAACCAGTACAATCGACTGTACCCTTACCAACCACCGGTTGAAATAGTGTATGACGAGAACTCACTAGCGTTGCCCGTCACATGTCGAGATGCACCGGAGTCGACAATCCATTCTGATGGTCTATTGGGAGACATAGAAGCAAGAGCATGTATGTCATCAGTACCTTTGGTCGGATGAGCATAGGTAGCAGTGTTGCCTCTGGCGAAGAACGAAGTGGATGCCTCCTCAGTCCCACTCCTCAAGTCTCCATCCCCTGCTACTTGCTGTTTTTTCCTGAGTATCGTCAGGAGAGAACGATCCTCCTTTGTAAAGACCACCTCAGCTTCTTCTTCCTCTGCTACCGTCAGATTCGCCTGATTCCCTGCTCCTCTTCCACCTCGTCGACCCCCACGGCCACGACCACGACCACGACCTCCGAACTGTCCACGTCCACCCGAATCTCCTTCCTTGGGTGGCTCGGTGCAAGCATGCCTTAGATGACCCACCGCACCACCGTTGTAGCACTGTCGAGTCTCTCCCCTAGATCCAGTGTTGCTAGAGGCTGTCAGTGCTGACTTCACCACAGGAAGTCCACCTGTCCCCGCCTGCAGCCGAATACGAGTCTCCTCCTGGATCATAGCAGAGACAACCTCCTCAAGCTTGGGAATCTTCGGCTGAGCTAGCAGCAATGCGATTCGCTGAGCGAACTCTGATGTCAATCCCTTGAGAAACACCATTGTCCTCTCCTGTAGAAAGGCCTCCCGCTCTTTACATCCCGGGTCCTTACAGCTAGCTCGGGGGGGAAAATGATCATAATCCAGCCACAGGCGCTCCAACTCTGTAGCATATTCTTGTATAGTCCTCTCTCCCTGGACTGTGGTGTCGATCTCTCCTTTAATCTGGAATACCCTCAGGTTATTCCCCACTCCATCATATGTCCTCCTCAACTTCTCCCAGACATCCTTCACCTTCTCAATGCCATCCACTGTGGCGGCGATCGTCGGGACCAGCGAGTTGAGAAGCCAGATGTACACCAACATATGAGTGGACTTCCACTCATCTCTTCCCTCCGAGTCCTCCTCCGGTTCTGTCGCCTCTCCTGTCAAGTAACCCTCCAGGTTCCGTGACCAGCTTAGGTACGTACTAGGTCCATCCAGGTTCAGATCGATGGTCGGAAGCTCCAACTTCTTCGATGGTTTTGTCGCGCTCTCACCAGCCGACAACTTCATCAACTTCATCAAAGTTGACACCTCCGCAGGGTTCAACTTCTTGATGATCTCCTCCATCGATTAAGCTTCAGATCCAACACCTATTCACCTTTTTCTTCAAACCCTTGTTGTGCGAAGGGAAAATTTCGGCAGCACTTCTGCTGCACTACAAGAGTAAGATCTCCAACAAATTCTCATTTCTCAGAGGAAACTAGAATCAAAAAATAGTGATATATCTCATCGATGTGAGATATATACTCTTCCTGTCATCAGTTCGAGGACTGAGTCGAGGGAATCCATGTCAAACTCAAGGTTCGACAGGATGCAACCGGGGGGTTCGAGGTGGCAGCGGCTAG